GCAAATGACATTGAGCTAGCTGTGCCCGCCATGGCCATGCCCACCCCAGCCATGCCCCTGCCGGCCTTCTGAGGTGAAACACAACCCTGATGCAGCCCTCAATGAAATCGAGTTTGATACTCCTGAGCTAGACTATTGTTTTAAAATCCTAAGAGGCTTTCCCTCAGGAGGATTTGCTGTTGTTGAATCTTAGTCTGGTAACACTTTCTGACTTTAGGCATAATGAATTCTAATTAAGTACAATAACAACAATACGACTTTTCAGTCTTGATGCTTTAGGGAGAACAGAGTGGAAATTGAACAAATTTATTTAATGAAAATTAATACCATAATCCTATAATTGTTCATGATGTTAATTCATCTATTGTTCTTGGTGTTATTACTCTTTCATAACCGAAAATAATGACATATTGATATCAACAAAATACTCTAAGGGCAGTCTTCTGAGTAAATGCCTGCAGAATTATCTTTCGGTATAACCTTAAAACATTATTATGTGAACTTTCCACTTTTTTGCAGATCCTTCAAGATTATCAATGGCAGGAACATTTCTGTTGCAGCTTTCGTTGCCGTGGTTTATGTAATGAGAAGAAAAAAATCAACTTCTTGAGAGAAGCCTTTTGAACAGCCTATTAGACTGTCGCTCAGAGTGATCTCAGAGAAGAATCCAATATGAATACATCACTCCTCTCCTTCACAGGAAATAATTCTATTCAAAACGTCTCCAATGAGGCTTCTGGTCGCTTACATTTCCAGGACGTTGACTGCCAGGTGCCCTTGGCAATAGTATTCACCTTGGCCTTGGCTTATGGAGTTGTTATCCTTCTTGGCATTTTTGGAAATCTGGCATTAATTATTATAATCTTGAAGCAAAAGGAAATGCACAATGTGACCAACATTCTCATTGTCAATCTGTCCTTTTCAGACCTCCTAATAACTATCATGTGTCTTCCTTTCACATTTGTATATACTCTAATGGACCACTGGGTTTTTGGGGAGACCATGTGCAAACTTAATCCTTTCGTGCAGTGTGTCTCTGTCACAGTCTCTGTTTTTTCCTTGGTCCTCATAGCTATTGAACGCCATCAGTTGATTATCAACCCTCGCGGCTGGAGGCCTAATAACAGACATGCTTATATTGGAATTGCCACCACCTGGATCCTAGCAATAGCCTCGTCTTTGCCTTTCCTCGTATACCATGTTTTAACCGACGAACCTTTCACTAATATAACCATAGAGGACTACAAGGGAAAATATGTATGCTTGGATTCATTTCCATGGGAGTCAGCCAGACTGTCCTACACTACTATTCTCTTGGTGATACAATACTTGGGGCCCCTTTGTTTTATATTCATCTGCTACTTAAAGGTAAGGAAGTGTATCTTTTGTCACATACTTTGCATGTTCTTTGTTTAAGGGTACTTGAGAGACCGCCTGCTGCCAATTACCTCCCAAAGACCCGTTAGATCTCACAGGGTCGGCCTCCTCCGAGTTCTGTCCACCAGCCAATGCCATCTGGCTACTACCCGGGGGAGGGCCTTCTCTGTAGCAGCTCCGGTCCTTTGGAATGAACTCCCCG